TTTCTTGTGGTTAAGAGGATGAGCCTTTCAGTCTCGTTCGTCTGATGGGCGGAAGCATCTGTCCCAGTGCTGCTAGCACAACCAGACTCTGAGCCAGCACAAAATCCCACACAGTTTACATGCACAGTGCATTACAGTTTAGATGTACCGACAGTTACACTTGACTCACGTTGGGTGACGATGTAAGGAGCATCGGTGAGGTGTCCACTAGGGTGTTAGTGGTGCTGCTGGTGTGCGGCGTGCTATTGTGTATGCGTGGTCATGTTGGGAGGGAGTGGTGGAAGAATTTGTAGCTGCTTGGTGGCAATAGGTAAGTGGTTTCTTCCTTCGAGCACCGCATTCGACTGGTTGGTGGGGATGTGGTTTTGCAGGGGAAGTAGAAAGAAGTCGCGGCTTGCAACCTTGTTGCCTTTAATCGCTAGGCACAAGGCTGCACTTCTGTGGGGTTGCCTGCGTGGCGGAAGATCTCTCAGACAACGGTTGCGAGTACAACATGAACGAACTGATCTGCATTATGCATTATCAGTAACTTTGTTACTGTTTTGTTTCTTAACTTGCAGAGTGGATTGGTTTCTGTATTGGGCCTGGTTTAATCATGTAGTGCACTTGCTAGAAAGTGGTTCCTTGGATGAAACATAGCGTCCTTCATGAGGAGGTGTTTTCCCTCCTATGTATTGGCTTCAATCCGACTCTGAGGGCATTTGCAAGCTTGATGTGTAGGCATGTGAGTTTCCATAATCTAGTGCATGGTGCCGTTCGATGGGGTCGGGTTGGATTTTATGCATGTTTCCGTTAGTTCATTGTGTATGCCGTTACAATGCGGCGCTATGTGTGTGGCGGGGCTCCACTCGAGGGCTACAAATGGCACTTCGGTGTTTGGATAGCAGCCATCGCACTAACACCCCGCTACACTTGCAGGTGCCTAGGGCTCTTCAGTCTCGTTGCTGATATCAGCCTCTTGTGCCTTCCGGGTAAAGCCGGTGTTTACCAGTGCAACAAAAGAGTGTTTGGGCACTGTTTTATCTGGTGCTGTCTTGTATCACGCGTTGCAGCAAGTTGGGTTGCAGCTCACGACATGTCAACGGTTCTGCGCACAAGCCCAGGCACTTTTGTTGCTGTGCCCATTGTAGGCGGGGCCGCCATCATAGCCGCAAGAAGCCGCAAGCTTTTACCGAGAGCGGTTAACCCCTCCCTCCCCCCACCCACCCTTTAATTTTTAGTCTTCGGGGGCGCAGCGGTCCAAGCTCGTGGGACTGTTGAGGAGAGGAGTCTTATGAATTGCAACGAACCTTGTTGCATCTGGTGCACGGCTTCCCTCCATGCAGCCACCATGCAAGCAAACCCCTTTTCTGGAACGGAGTACCACTGAAGCCAATTGTCAAACGGTTACTTTGACTTGACTAACAAGGCAATGCACACTGCAAGCAAATAGAAGCGCACTTACCCGGTCCAGAGAGGTCTTCCAAATAACGAAGATAAGGCGTCAGCTGCTGTTTGGGAGCTCAGCTCCTGCACATGCTGCAAGTGTCTGCTACAGTACTATTGCATAATTTGCCTGATGCTGGCGCGTGAGCTCTTGATGCTCAATACACTCCTAGTTGCGTGCGAGCTGCGTACGGGTGTGCAGGTTGCCTCCAAGTCTCTAGTTGATACAGCAGAAAAGGCTTGGGTGTGACTGCATGTGGTGCTGTCTTCCACTACTTACTCGTAGCGGCGTGTGGTGTAATTCGTGCCAGCCCTCATCTTTTGCTGCAGCCGCAGGCTCTTCCGCCGTTGTGACTTCTGGAAAATGGGAAGGGGGCTCAGCTGTATTTTGGATATTCCACCCCTTTGCCTTTTGGTTCCATTATAGCTCGCGGCAGCCCCAACGTTACACAAAACCCTTTTGTAATTGCTCTAGCGCATCCCAGCCTATAGCCAACTAATACCTAATAAGGGTCGAAGTGTCAATTCCAGAACTCCAATCACTGGTCAGAGTGTGCTGTACTGCTGCAGATGCCGACAGGCAAGCCACTCGCTTTTCGTCGGCCTGCTGAGTTGCCGGCCCTCAAATATTCAGGTTCATCGTTTACCTACACTTATTTTTGTGTGTTACTTCACGTGGTCAACAAAGTCAACGTCTATGTAGCATTCCAAGACTGTCCCGAACTCGACTACTGGCTTGAAGCGGATGGAGCAGAGGCCCGCAGCACTAGAAGTGTTTCACAATACCTACTATCAAGCTGAATTGTTTGCTCAAAACCTTCTTTCAATATTAGATGAGTCGATTTCTTACAGACTAAATGTCCATAGCATCGAAGCTGCATGTGGGGCCCTTAGTTACTGTTCTGCATGGCGCTACTGTTCTACATGGCCCCATTTATAGATACATGACCCCGATAGTTCAGTGCAGCAGAGTGGCTTTTTTGCATCAACTATGTGTTATTTAAAAGTATAGGCTTCTCTGGTCCCGTGGTTCGTTCGTTTTTGTGGCTGTAAAGGGCCCTAGTCTATGGGCCATCGTTGCCTCGAGGCGACCTTCGCTGTGGAGGAAAGGGGGAATCTGTCCCCTGCAGCGAATCCGAAGACACCTACTGAGGACAACATTTCAGTGACTTGAAACTGGTGGTGTCACTTTTCTTGGCGGGAAGGATCTTCTGGGGATGGAATTCGTCGTGGGAGATCACTCGGGCCTGTGCAAGGAACTCTCTTGGCTGTCTGCCGAAACCCGACGTACGCGCATTATAAAGAAGGCCAAGCAGAACCGTTCTTTGGAAGTCACCTCCCTCTGTTGGTCAGGGCCTTCAGGGTAAGCACGCATGCAAGCAAAACCTTATGCCTGCGTCCTGTGATCCTGTATAGCAACACAAATTTTCCTTTAATTTAAATATAGGAAACTCTCTCGAGCATGCAGTCATTACCGCCTATGTATTGCAATACTTCCTCTTTGCTGGGTAGAAAACCCACTCATGATTGTGGGCCCAGATAAGCGCGCTCCAAGCTACTCCATGCAGCACTGCGTATGTTTGCACAGCGGAAGAGAGGCTTCGGAGATTGCAGTTGGTCGCGCATGTGGATCTGTGGAAGCCTTCGCCACCTCGAGTACCGTGTGTGAGGTCCCGATTGACGATCCGTCTCCCGAGGGAGAGAGTTCCCTCAATCAGCCTTTGCGATCCTTCCAGCTACCATCAGCGCCTGTGGCTCTTTCTCTAATCGGATCGGTGGAGGCCCGTGCGCATACGCGCTCGCTCCTCTGCAAGTCATGGCTAACAAGTGGTGTGACAGCAGGCGAAGCTTCGCTTCGCAATGCACTGCAGCCCCCGACATCGGAGGCTGGAGCCGATGCAGAACAGGACTCATCCTGCGGCAGCGGTTCAACCAGGTTGTTGCTTGCCGTTGGCCAAAAGGGCCACACCTGCGTAGTTGAATGGGAAGGATCTTTTAGCACTCGTCTTCTCGAGATGCCAAGAGAGGCAGGTGGAGTAGTGTCATCTGTGGGTGAGGCTGTTGAGGGGGAACAAGGAGGCGTTTCAGTGCAGTTTGTTCCACTAGAGAAAAATTCTAATGCTGAGCCTTCCTCTGTACAGACAGAATCCGAAGGCAACTCATTTTGTTGCAGAGTTGCATACCTCCTTCCTGCTCCCATTGCGGCCGCCAGCAGCCACCCCTTGTGCAACAGTCTGTTGGCCTTCGGCGGGAAGGAGAACGACGCAAAGGTTGTGGATCTTGACTACGGAAAGATCCTGTGGGCTGCGAAGAATGTGAAGCCCAGTTTCCTGGGGCTGCGGTGCGATGTAGCGGTGACACAAGTAGAGTGGCTGCTGCCAATTCACCCCATGGTGCTGTCGGTGGGAACTGCAAAGGGCGCCATGCGATTCTATGACTTGCGCTGCCAGCGCCGACCAGTGCTAGAAGTTTGTGAGGCAACGCAAGAGAAAAGACCAATCACAGCCCTTTGCGTCCACCCCACAGCTGAGGTGTTGCAAAGCAAGACGGACATGCGAGCGGCCCTAATCCGTGAGGCAGAGACTGCGGCTTCCTCCTCCTGCTGCGAACCATCGGCAAGCCACGTATATACCACAGTTGCAGGTGTGAACAGCCACTTATCCAGGAAGAAAGGTTACCCGGGAGGTTCGGGCCAATCCAGCTGCGGAAATACTGCGGCAAACGAACCAGCAGAGAACTTGCTGGCCAGCTGCAGTGGCAAGGATTCCGCCACCGTCTACTTCGCTGACTCCCATGGGATGATATACGGCATGCGAGTGCACAGTGGCTCTGCGTTGATGCGTTTAGTGGACAAAACTTGTCCAAAGTACAACCCTTCTTCTTACCGCTCTTTCAATGCCGTCTCAGAGGCAGACTGGTCGCCCGAAGTCAAGAGAAAGCTAATCGCTGAAATGTTAGACAAGCAAAGACGAAAACTTTCATCCAAGAAAAACGATCGTCCAGTTTGCACCGCTGCATGCGTTGATTTGCAGCTTGCCGCTGCTTCTTGTGGAGGGTTTAAAGGAGCCATGGGAGCAATTATGGGTGCGGCTTGCCTATTCCCTGTTGGCGCCTAGGCATGGTGCTTCTGGTACACAAGAGGGCGCGCTGAAGTTATTGTGTCCTTTTCCCTCTGTTTCTGTTACAGGACTAAAAATAGATCCTTCTGGAGAACACCTAATTGCTGTGGGATTGGGACGCTACGCGTATGTGTTCAATGCTAAGTCGCGAAAGCTCTGCGGACAAGTGAGAATGTTTTCTTGTATCGCTTTGAGGCTGCAGGAGCGGGTTGCTTGCAACAGCAGGTACATAAAAAAAAACAGTTGCACTAATGCATGCTTGTCACTGATGCAGGTTTTTCTCAAGCAGAAGCTGACGTGTCTTCTAGCCGGAGGAGGAGAATTGGCTGGGGGAATAAGAAGGCACGCACGAACACGGCAACGAGCAAATAGTGGGGGTAAAAACAGCGGGTCGGACGCCAGCAGCTCAGAACGGGAAGAAGGGGACGCCAGCAGCTCAGAGCAGGAGGAAGGGAACGACAGCAGCTCAGAACAAGGAGGAGGGGACGACAGCAGCTCAGAGCAGGAAGAAGGAGACGCCAGCAGCTCTGAACAGGAAGAAGGGAATGCCAGCGACAGTAGCAACAATCCAGCTGGCTACTGTGCAACTGGAGGGGCAGACAGTAAGTGGAAACCTGAGCGCCACAGTGGCAAGCAGCCGACTGGCATTGCTGTCACAACAAACAAGCGAAGTGCCGCAATAGACAACAATTCCAAGAAGCGAAAGCGCTTTATCAAGCCACCGGCACAGGCTGGGAGGCGTCTTGGCTAACTCAGAGCATAACTTGTTCTAAACAATCCACATTTGAAGTGTACTCAAGATTTTTTGCATAATAACGCCATCAGCAAGCTGCCTGCCCCTGAGAGCCAGGGAGAATTCGGGTGTGAATGCTACTCTCTTACTCAATTCAGTGGGTGCGAGGGCCTGTTGCTAGAGCCCCCATTTCATAGAAAATGATAGAAGAAAGGCAAGCCTTATTCAGAGCCGAAAATGCGCGGAAGCAATCCTTAGAACATACAACATAACCTCAGCAACCACCTTGTGAGGGTGTCTAGAAAATCTAAGAAAGCTGAAAATATGTACTCTGACGGTGAATTCATTACTACATCATTTTGCCCCCGACATGAATCTATACAAAGCTTTTCAAATGGCAAGAGGGCAGTACACTTTACACCCCTGAAATGCTGTGCCTTCTGACAAATGCGCCGAGGTGGCGGAGGTGGCAACATATCACATAATGTACTCCCAAGTAACCGCTACTATCCGCCCAGCCAGTACAATATCCTACATACTGCAAATACAACCGTAAACGCACCAGAAAGCCTGTAGATGCAGCGAATTTCATGGAGAAACAGCCGAACTCAGATTCGCTAGGCTTGATAAACTGTTTGGCGACGGCCACACCGATGATGCAACTTCACTCCAAAGGCGCCAAACGCCGGAAACAGGTTGTAGCGCAACGGTACGAATATTGCAACAGGAGTGCAGTTGCCATTCAGCTCGAGCTCGGATTTTCAAAGTTTTCGGGAAATTCAGCAGTCAAACAACAACGGAGTCTAACCGAAGTTCCCCCATGCTCTGGTCATCGGTTAGTAGTGCTCATCACGGGCCAGCATATGCAACTCTGGCAACGATGTGACGTAGCAATAAGCAGCTGCAATTGCAAATAACCGTGATGCACCAGATAAGCTCCATGCCTTTGAATCGCCGTCCCGCGGAAGCCTGGAGGCTGGATCGGTCCGTAGAGGCATTTTACTTATTGTTTCCTAAAGTGTTTTGATTCTAGGGTGGTTCTCGAGGATCCTCAGCTACCATCGAGTGCAACAGCTACAAATGACTGCCTGGTGCTCCCCGCCAGCGCAGTACCGTGTTCCCAGGTATGTCTGGTTCAGCGCAATAAATTCTCTGATTAGCTCATTATTGAGTAAATTCAAGGGAAGATGGCATATAGTGTATGGGATATCTACCTGTACTTGATAGTAGACAACATGTGGCTCCCTGCTGTCCTGGCTGTGGGGAAGAGGGGGGCAAGCGAAGCAAGTAGAGAAGCAACGGTGTGGCTTGGTTTCATTCGGTAGGACCTGTGTAAAATTATTCCATTTGCCCTGCGGGAGTTCAATATTTTCTTTCTCTACTACTTCTACGCTTTGGGACCATTCCAACTCGCCCTTAAAGTTCACACCTGCAAGCCCCACCGAAGGCTTGCAGTCTCTCGCTGTTGCCTAACAGCAGTGTCCCATTCACAAACATATCATTTTGGAGAGTTTGATTTTCTCGTAAAATCTGGAATATCCTAATTTGCCACGGAGATAGCGTGGAGCTGCGTGAATTGGCATTTTTCAGCGAAGTGCTTTCGACGAGCACTGCGGTGCCCTCTCGGTGGCTGTTTCTCAGCCAAGTATACACTACTGACATTTCTCTTTAAACCCGTAGAAGGAGACCTAATTGTGATCAAGTTTCATCGTTTAAGCAGGGACTGACCTTCAAACGGAGCAATTGCATCGCTTTCGGGACCGCTGCAATTGCATTCTTTCGTTCGCTTGACGTGCAAAGCTTTCTCCCGTGCTCCCGTTTCCGACGTTGATTTTCCCCATTTTCTGAATCTTGTGTTATGGTTCGAGATCTTTGGCACTTCCGTTCACAACTTTCACTTGGCGGAAGCACTGTCGTCTTCCCATATCGTTCAAATGCCAGCTCCTGCGGCTAAGTTGCCGAGCCGGCCAAATGGGGGTTCCAACAGCGCTTCCTTTGCTTCCGATGGCAGCAGGAATAAGGGGTGCTGGGGTTTTTTGCGTAGAATGTTGCATGGCGCAATAGACCACGTGGAGAACACACCCGCCGTCGTCGCAGCAAAAACGCAACGGAAACCATGTGGAGTTGGCCGTTATTTTGTGCTTGTGATTTATGTTATTTACGCATTTTTGACCGCTCGCGTGTACTTCGCCTGGCCAAACCTCTCAAACTTGCTCTTCAGGTCGGACGCCTACTCGTGGTTGTGCGACCAGTACCTGGCGGAAGGAAACCCGGATATGAGAGATCCAGTACATGGGGGGAAGCGGTACATATGCGAAGCCCAGAACTCAGCAGTTGGAAATATATTTGTAACTTGTTTGGCATTTGCTTTTTCCTTTTCTCTAGCTGCTGGACTGCTGCTAGATTACCTGGGGCCGCGCATAACAGCGGCAATAGGTCAACTCATGAATGCACTCGCCTGGGTACTGCTTGCTTTCGGGTCTGAGTCAACACAAACTTACATTGCGGCATTCATATTTATGGGGATAGGATCAGACATAGGATACTTACCGCTTCTCTCTTCAGCTAACCTCTTCCCTGGACACGAAGGGTACGCTCAGCTTAATTTAAGGTAGAAGTACCAATTCGTTCCACCTGACTGGTCGTTTGGCATCTGTTCTCCTGTACACTTTCATTCTGTCCCTATGTGTTCACAAATTCTGCTTTTCAGGCTAATTGTTGCCATACTCGGGGCGTCCAAGAGTGCCAGTTTCGCCGTACCGACAATCTTAGACAAAATAGAGGTTGCTAATCCGGGCATTGGTTTGAGGGAAGTGTGCCTAGGATACGCACTAGTGGGACCAGGTGCGTTTAACGACGTTTTCAAACTCGTCTTTCACAGGCGGCTGTATCTTCATTAGTTTCGTGTGTGAAGCCCTTCTGAAACCATGTGCACTTGTGTGTTGCACTTCATTGTGCTTCCTGCTGCTTGTTTTTTTCTACCCGAACTGAGGGGAGCGTCGACGTACTTTCACACTATCCCCAATGTTTTGTAGTGGATATAGGTTATGGGTCTTATCGGGTGCTCATGTATGACTCGTCTCAGGTTTGTGCTTTATCGTGTCCTTATTCTTGGTCCCCTATAAGCATTTCAAGCCATGGAACGAATTCACCGAGATGGAGCAGGGGGGCGATTATCACCACCCTATCCAGAGGGTCAACGACTCGTTCGCTTCCATAGAAGCCCATGCATGGCGAGACAGCTTCAGCAGCTTTCATGAAGGTCAGTGGCCGCTGTATGCACATGACGGACATTCGGGAGCCACTTCATCCGAACCAGGTCGCAAGAACAAAAATGTCCTAGATGTTCCTCGACAGGGCGCTACCAAAGGACAGGGAAAGAAGACCAGGTCTGAATGTGGCGGAGCAGACGAAGAGAAGAGAACTCAGGATGACAAACAAAATAAAAGTGGGATCAGCCCGCCCATTGTCAGTCAAACGGAAGAGGTGCCCGCCATTTACCAAGCAACCCGGATGAGTGTTGCAACAGGTGCAGGTAATGCAGAGACATTGGACCAGCTGGCTGCAGAGAGAGAAGAAAAGCCAGCTTCGTTCATTAAACAATTCACGTCACCGTATGCCATTTGTATAGTGGTTTACTCTATCATTAAGGCCATCATGTATGCCTTCTTCACCACAGCAGCTGAAAATCTACTCGGAAAGGAGGTTAACGACTTCATGGGAGCTGCATTACCTTTCTCGCTCTTCCCGTGCATTGTAAGTACAGACACGTTTCTATAGGTGCTACGCATAAGGCGCAGGCTCTTCCCTTATCAGCATCTCACCCGCCCTCCTTTACCATTCATAACCGCATAAATGGTTACCAGCGTTTCCGCAGTTTAATGTATAGGCTCGCGCTTGCCTTGGGTGTTGTTTCAGGTAATAGGCAAAGTCGTCGACATGGTTGGCATCATGCCCATTTTGTTTTTCCTGAATACCTGCATAACCCTGGCGTATGGGTTCAGCATGATTCCAGCGCTGCCTACGGCGTATTTTTCAGCTCTGCTTTACATTTGTTATGTCTCGTTTTACAGCTCACAGAGCTACTGTTTCGTGTCGGACACATTCTCGTCCTCTCACTTCGGAAAGATTGTGGGGACCATCCACTTGCTAGCAGGGTTCCTTTCGCTGTTAAAAATTCCTATGCAGAAGCTCGTTGTGGAGGTTTTCCATTCTGTCTATTATTACCCTTGTCTAATCATGTTGGTGCTGTGTGGCATCAACTTCCTCGTGCTGCTGCTGCTCTGGTGTAAGAAGCGCGCGGATCCACATCCCTTCTGGCCACAAGCAGCTCGGGACATGGCCAAGCTGGAAGCAGAGGAGAAGAGGAGGGCTGCACAGGAGAAGAAGGAGCAGAAAGCGAAGGCAAAGAGAGAGAAGGAGGGTCGCCCGGAGCTGAGGAACCAGGATACCGACGTATGATGGGTGTTCATGCAAAGATACACACACTCAAACGTGCGTGCTACACAATGACTACTGTGTGCTGTCGGAAAGACAAGGCCTAGGGGTGCTGTGTGATTTTACTCTGCAGTGCAGATACAGCAGCAGAAACAGCAGGCAGCAACAACAGTGATTGGAGCATGTAGGCGGCTATATAGTTCTTCTAAGGGACTGGCGGCTCACCGTCCGCTGCTCAATTCCACGTGAATGGTGTTCATTAGCCGCCCACCTCCCGCCCACCGTATCTTGCATCATGCCTCTTGCCAAGCACTCAAGTGGTGCCAAGCTACGTCCCTTACAGGAGGTGGTTTGATGGTTGAGGGAATGTATGGCACTAGGTGCAGGACAGAGTCAGCGAGGAGGCACTGTGTCTTGGAGCTGGATATTCCAGCCTCTACATTCCAACTGTTTCCCGTGCACAGGGTTTTAGGGCGTTAGCTAAGCCAGCTAGCCAGCATGTGATTTATCTGGGTTTAGATTGACCCAGTTGGGTTCCTCCAACCAGTCTGATAAGACATTTTCGGAAGTAAAGGGGTCCAGTTAACCCAGTGCGATACTTCTCGCTTTCGAGCACCGCAACTGTTGTTGGCGGACAGAAAGAACAGTGAGCTAGATGTTCGAAAAAATGATAGGGGCCTACGTTTCAGGAATGTTTCTTCAAGCACGTTTCAGGGAAAGTATTCCTAAGATGCGTTTTCTAGATATTTGTTTCTAGGATTCAGCTGCATTTTGGTCTCATCGGGTGACCCTGAGAAAGGGGAACAGATGCCACGTGTGCTGCAGAGCCTACATCAACAATAGAGCCACTGTACTGAGGTTGAGTTACTTCGCCAGTAGTTCGGTGCCTTTCCGAGAAATAAGCAGGCATGCTAGACGGCAAATGGCACTAAATATGCACCTTTGCGAGGCTGCCAGTGTGTATAGTGCCCAACGGTGCACCATGGCAGCTTGTAGTCGCATTTGAATGTATGGGCTCCTGTGCCTGGTTGTGGAGATAACGCTGCCCAAGGATAAACGGCGGTAAATATCTGTTAAACCTGCTATCGCATTTGGGAGTCGTTTTATCATGTTGAAGGGCGACAGTAGGTGCAAATTCCCTTCATATGGAGGGCAACTCGATAATCTGACATGCGGCTGCGGAACACACCCGAAAGACTGCGGGCAAACAGTCTGTTTGCAGTGCTTGAAACGCTAAGCAAACAGCCGACTATTAAGGCCAGCGGCACAGAAAATGTGTGGCAAGATATTGTCATCGCGTTGGATGACACAAAACTCTAGCTAGCACTGGCACTCGCTTTATCGCTGTTCTCATACAGGGTTCAAGCTGCTCATTGTGCTTAAATTACTTAGCCCGATCACGCACCGTATCCACTAGCTGTTTTCTTAGGTACTTTGCTCGGGTCCATTATGGATCACTTTGGGCCTTGCTTTGCATCACACCGGTGCACCTGCTGCTGGGTGTTCCGTCGACTGTATGCGCCGTTAGGCATTCCAAATCATTCGGTTCAAAATTAGTTTTGTACTGCACCGAGAAAGGTGTGCACTTACGGAAACTGCAAGCCCGATAAAGCATATTCTTTTGTTATTGCATCTCACGGCCGGAAGTACGTTGTGGGCTGCAGTGTAAATCGCTAAAAGACCCAGGCTGAGGGCCCCCTGTGACACCATAAAGTAGCCATGCAGACACAATGGTAAGAAGAAGGAACTGCGGGGATCAAAACGCATTGTCCGGCACCAAGAATAACTTGGGCCAAAAAGCAGCGCATAGCCCTCAGACACGGATGGTTGTGGGTCTTGGCCGCTTTCTAAAAAGGGATCGGTATATTCAATCCTGGAAGTGGGCTCCTAGTGGCATGATTTCAGCAATGGCCACTCAGATGCTCGTGCACAGACTATTCACTTTTTCACAACAGCAGACCCGCAAGAAGTGACACGGAAATCACCAACAAGGAAAAGCGCGTGGGCGTAGAAGCTGCACTGCTCTCTTGAAGCCATCCCTGGAAGGTAGTGGCGTTGACCTCTGCCTGGTCTGACATGTTTGTAAATCCCAAGCTATCTGCAATGAGCACCTGGAGAGGGAAGCCCTGCACTAGGAAAACATTCCCGTCGTTGTGCATGTTTCCTTCAACATTTTGCAGCTGGCGAAAGTTTCCGTCTTTTTCCTTAACTGATTTCAAAGTCTTTGGATTTAGCATTTTGTAGAACCTCAACATGGTATCTGTAGCTACAGGCAAAGGTTGGCGAGCCACATACCACCTTACATTCTCCTCACATCCAGGCATTGTGTGGCTCCCATCGTAAGCAAAGAATTCCTGATTTGTCAGCTGTAACATCATCATTAGGGACTGTAGGTTCAAAGGATGAGGGAGCTCAAGTAGCTCCGAATCGCCTGAAGGGAAACAAAAAAAACGGCGCAAACCGTCAAACGCTGTCATCACAGAAACCGGCACAGGTTCTAAATAGTTCGGTAGAAGGGTAACTCCAAATAAAAGGGGTAAAACAACACAATCACGTAATTGGAGTAATAATTAAATAACTTGACGAGCAAGACCTGCTAACCTGTGCAACCTACCTTGCGAGTTTTTGTTTGAAACGTCCGCCATCAACAGCGTTCTCAAAAGTTTTTCAGATGGGAGGCCCCTCAGTTCTTCAAGACTGGCCTGGTCTAGCTCTTCGCTCATGAAAGTCAAAGAAATAACTCTCCAATGAGATGAAGGAAGGGAAGGGTCCTTTCCCCTCTTGCTGTTCTCAGCCATCACCCGTTCAACTTCAGGCAGGTTGACGCTGCTTTGGGCGAAGAGCGCCATGTACGGTAGAGATGTGAGATTTACACTTTTGCTGGCTTCCATTGACAACAGGTCATTTGAGTAGTGCCATATTTGCATCTCTATCTCTCGTCTGTTAGCTTCCCCTTGGAAGGTATGTTCACTGGGGGAATGAAACAGAATCTGATGCGCTACGAACATTTCGGTTGTATCCGACCCAAACATTGCACCTAAGGGAACCAGTCCTTCTCCAGCAGAGCGAATCTGAAACACCTTATCTGTTCTGTACAATAAGACATTGCTGAGCTGGTTCGGATACGTGTAGAAGAAGTCCCCCTTCTTCCAGAGCTTGGTCGGCATCATGGATGCACGCTCACCAGAGAAAGCGTTTAAATATAGCTGTGTCATGTTCTTCTGAGGAGGCTCCTCCAATCCTTCAATATGAAGATCAACTGGAGATTGGCGTGTACCTGTCTTGCATTTGCCTTGTGTCCAGTCAGCCCCGTGCTCTTTGTAGTCCCATTCAGATTCGGGGCTAACCCCCAACTGGGGAATAGTGCCTGTTGAAGAAGACAACCGGTGCTGTTTCTCCACCCATTTCTGCACCATAGAATGAGCTGAGAGTGAGTCTCCTCTCAAGTTTGAAGTCTCGATACGGCTTGCGTCCGCTCGACGGGCAGCCTCATTAGCCCCCAAGGCCGAAAGATGCTCGGGAGACAGAAGAGAGCGTGCTTGGCTGTTCCATTTGCCTGCATTAGCCCCAAGAATACTAATGGAACAAGTAGAGATGAACACGAGTGAATGAAACTTCATTTTCAACGCCGTTTCGTTCTCCGCTCAGCGCTTGAGCTTCCTTGGGACTCGTCTCTTCCGACTTCCGGAGAGGCTGAGTATATGAAAAGGGCGAATGTGCCTGCGAAACTCCGGAGAAAAATACACATACGATTATTCCAATTTAGTTACGGTAAGTAGTTGTCTTTCCTTGTTCGTTGGTGCTGACGACAGCAGACCACTCCGGGCGCCGTAGTCCCTAGTGCTGCGCACTGCCCGCTGCAAGCTAGCACGCCTTCCGTGAGTTGAATGAGTTCAATATTCACCTTTCAAAGCTCCAACATTTTTGTTTTGTTATATCAATATCATCAGATATACACGGAGAGACAGGACCTTCAAAACAAAATTGCTTAGTGTGCAACCGACAAAACGCCCAATGGACCAGCAAGGCCTCAGCAGTGGAAACAGAACAATTTCGCCATACGGTTCGCTATTATCCAGTAATGTACCCCACAATTAAACAGCACTAGAACGTAAAATCAGATCTTCTCTTCTTGATGAAATGCTTTGCTGCGTTTGTTGTCGCCAGAATTTCTAGTCAGTTCCCACAAACACTCGCTACTGTCTCCGGTCCGCTTGCCAATGCACTGCAGCCCCCATGAGAAGCACAATCTGCCTTCTTCGGTGCATATGGCATTTAATTAGATTTACTTCCTGTGCACTGGCGAGTCCTTCTGTTTATCTGTGTGGATATTGCTCCTTACATCCCCTACCGTGCCCAGGCGGTCACTGTCAACTCACTAGTGCCACTCAAAATATTGTGACTATGCACTATTCTGTTAATATTATGGCACCTTTGTTCCCTTATTTACAGTTTTGCTGCTACTGTATTTCGACCTACCTGAAGTTCCCACCCTGAACTCCACAAGTCCTCAAGAAAGGTGGTTGTTGTAGATGCACCTAACTTCAAATGCTCTATTCCAAGTATCTACGCTTATTTTCATTATTACACGACCAACTATATGCCGACGGTGGCGTACCCAAGATGCGACGGATGATGTAGAAGCCGTGAAAAGATTGTCATGGACCTTCGTGATGCATGCTACAGCATGCCCCCTCCATCTGTCCTGTTCGCGTGGTTCCCAAGAGACAGCCTCCTTCCTGGCAACCGAACTGGTGAAACCTCTCTACGACACAGAATCACCGCCATCGCTCTTGGATACGCCTTCGAACAGGATGCCAACAGTCTCTTGCCCGTTGCTGTTAAAATGACTACGTAGCAACTCATTCCCGCCTCCCAAACCATAAAGGTTGCGAGATCACGTCAAAAGCTCGCTATTATATTTAGGCTGCTTCGGCACGCATGAAAAACATACTCACGCGCCCAAAAAGCGAGTCATCAACACCTGTGCAACCCTTCTGAGCTCAACGAAGCATCAACGCTCAAGTTGACAATGAACTGTCTAGTCTGAGCTCGAGCACTCTCAATCGACCTCCTCCAATCCAACCATCTCTGGAACCAGACACCAATCAAACATTCCACTGCATCTATTTTGTATGTTAACCAACCGTTAACCTGCTCCATGCTCCCATGTGTGGGTGCTATAATTGTAACCACGGTGGGGGCTTCCCCAGAAACGCTACAACCACTTCACAACATGAGAAATCCGCCCCTCCGTTTGTCGTAGCAAGTGGATGCCACCAAAACGTCACACCCTTTAGCAAGGCAGGTGGTATCCAAAGCACCAAAACGCATCGATGCATATGCTAGAAGTAGCGATACTCCCTCCTGGCGCTAACCCAATGGGTCAGGCCGGGGGTAGGCCAAATACATACGCTGCATGCACCGCCTCCCAGCCACAAGCTGCGCGCTCCTTCCCTGAGCCATCATCGAGAAACAAGATTACAAACGCGACGATGGGTTGCACTGACTAAGTACAGTTCCAGGAAACAAAATGAGCAGCTTACAAGGACTCAAAGTCGCTAAATTGCCATTGCACCCCGGCAATGGAACGTTCAAACGTTTGATGTTTCGGTTCTAGGTATGCCATTTGCGCTGCCTACATGCTCAACAAAGAAACAAGGGACTAATAACACGGAGACAGATATTATTCGTCATCTGAGTCCGTGTCCGCTGCGCAACCTTTCTTGTTGGTCTCGCGGACAAGCTGGTTAACTTGGCGGTTGGCCCGTTTAAGTTCTGGGGAGAGCATTTTGATTAGAGGAGTTGTTGTTATAGCTTTCCGACCGTCTAGTTTGCTGCCAGGTCCCGTCTCGATAAGCATTTCAATCAGTTCGTGGGGAGGCACAGTTTGGAAATCTCCGTCATTGTAATCTATTCGGAACTGATTGGTATAATACGTAATTTTCTTCTCCTTTTCGTCTTCTTTGCTACCCTCGCCACTTCCTTCCGTATCACCATCTCCAACCTTGCTGGAAATTGCTTGATAGTTGCTCACGACTCCATAATACCACTTCTTCTTTGAAGGGCCATCCGGAAACTGGTAGTCCACTCTTGTCTTTCCCAATGTGACACTTAGCAACGGAATGCTCCCCTTCCACACTGTCTCTGTTTCATGAACTTGCGGCTTCTGCATGTTCTCTGCGCTGCGGCGAGCAGCGTTCTCATGGATCCTTGACTGCCTGTTTCCGGTCATAAGGGAGTTCATGTTGACCCCCCTCTGCAGTGGGCTCATGTTGTCGAAAAGTCTCTGCAGTTTCTGTTGATGCTCTCTCTGCACTGTCAGCAGGGCGTCTTGAAAGCACGTGAGAAGTGCATCCTGAATCTGTGCAGGAGAAACAAAGTGCGGATGATCCCAATTAGATGCCAAATGTCTCTTGGTTAGCCTGCAGACCTCTACACTTGCCTTCGCCCCGTACAACTTGTAGCAATGCACACACGGCTGCAGAGAGCCCAAAAGCGCACGGGGTTCTACCAGCATATCCGTCCTGCAACCCAGCAACTCTTCGCTTGAACACTCATCAGGGGTCAGCGCCACGGGGCAAGGCTGCATTTTGCTGTTTCGCCTCTTGTCGCTACTGTTACTGTATACGCGCATTGCTTCCTCAATCACCACACCGTTAGTATGTTTCTTGTAAACACCGCCATCCCTGTCACTGCCCCTAGAACATGTTGGTTCTGCATTCCGCTGTGCGTCGTCGCTGCTTCCTTTGCATCCCAACGACCGACTGGTCCCAACAGTTCGAAGAGATCGCGCAGCTCCCGCGTCACCCTTCACAATCCCCGATCTTCCATCGCATTGCTCTACAGGATATTCGGGCGGCTTCTGGCTTTCCGGTAAGGAGTTTCCTCTCGTGAGCTTTTCACTCGGCAATGCCACCTTGGAATCCTCTTGACAGCTTGACAAGGATTCACCGGTTTCGCCAGTACTCTTAGGTGCATCAGAGGGAGGAGGTTCACCCTCTACAAAGTATGGTGCTGCAGCACCGGATGCTGCCCCTGCTGCATGATCGCTTAAATCAGCGTTCCTGCCTGGGGCTACCGATCCCCCCGTTTCCAGCCGAGAGTCATGCCCTCCCTTTGTGGGTGAAAACGAGCTTTCCTGGTGGCATTCGTGCTGTGTGCCTGCACCAATAACACCCTCGGACCTGCTGTGAAAGTGAGGGGACGGAGACTCCGTAGCGGCCTTCCTCGGTCTCTTGGAATGAGCCCGCAGCCCAGTCCCTCTGCCGCACCCTCTGCGTTTCGCGCCACCTGCAGCAGCCGCATCTTGATTACTTGAGCCGTACGAAGCGTATCGGGTGTTGGCCTGCTCCGCGTGTGTTTTCTGGGCTTCTGACATCACCATACATCTCGCCCCTGGGTCGCCTGCGCACGGTAGAAGCAGCGGGTTTCCCTCACCAAGGACCTTACGGGCTTGCCAGTCCACTGAGAAATTCATGGCGGTGGCCATTCGTTCCCACTGCAGCCGGCAAACGCAGCAAAACCACTTGCAGTCCCCCTCAACAAACCACCGGTATACGTCATCGACTGTCTCCCCGCCACTTACAACACCGAATTTTGGGCCAGGCTCTGTTGCTTTTGTTGTCCCAACAGAGGCATCACTCAATCCTCCTGAAGGGCTGAGGGGGCTGCGAGGATCTTGAATAGATGCAGACGTGTCAATGTGCACAGGTTGCTCATGTTTTAGCACCCCATCTGGCTGCTGCTGTCCATCCTGCCACTGCTCCTGAGGCGGCTCTTGCTCCTTCTGGGGATTTTGTGGGTCTCGTTGCTGTGGATTCTTATTCCGTGTAGCTTGCTCTGGCTGCAGCTGCTCCTGCTGTTGCGCGTCCTGATGCCGGTCAGCGCCATGGACCCCGAAGATGCAACGGAGATGGCAGGGTCTGTCGCATCCGTCGCAGTGCACGACCTGTTCACCCCAGGTACACGGTGTCTGCCCATACCCTGTCACATCTGTTGCCTCAGTCTTCTGTTGCCCTTGGTTTTGCGGCTTCTGCGGCTTCCCAGCTGCCGGCTTGCCGCCAGCGCCTACAACCTTCACAGAATGCTTCGCGGAGGTGCTTGATACTAAAGGTATTTCGTCTGAGTGGCAGTACGGGCACACTTCACCCATCCGGGCTCGAGTCTGCAACGCCACGTCGTTGTCCCGCACTAAGCACTCTGCGTTCCGTGCCGGCGCCAGCGTCTGTCGCACATTGAATACCACAACATGCAAGGAGGGCCAGTGAGATAACTGCACTCAATAATACAACACAGTATCCATGTGAGCAGCCGTAGATGAAAGCATCACACCTGACAGGCGCCGGCTTTAGCGCCAATTCGATAGTCGAGAAGCTCGCGGGCTATCGCCTTATGGGAGGCATCTTGCACCCTATTAAACCAGTCATAACCGAAGTCAGCCAGCACTTCTTCCCCTGCAGCAACAGCAAAATTAGCACTGGCCAACTGCATCAACATTTCACAAGCTGGTGGTTAGAAAGCGAAATGGCGTGATGGTGCTGCCTTCCCTGTATGGATTGATCTTGCGTGCCTGCATTTAAACCAAAGAATGCTGGATGTCAAATCAACGTGCAGTGAATTGTGTAGGAATGCACCTGGTTCTATTGCAACTCCTGGTATCGTTGTGAGAACGATGTGGGGCCAGCCGTCCACAAACACCTGTTGCCATTCTGTGTTGCAGTGGCATATTTTCTCGCCCAGCAATCCAATGGTGCCTGAAGAGGTGGCAGAACATGAAACTGTGCCTTAGAGCAAAATTACTCAGGCAATTCACCAAGCTCACAGCGTAGACAGTGTAAATACTGCTGGCAGCCGCCTGCACCTACGTAGAAGCAATCGGACGCGACGGAACAAAGGGCGTGTGACAAAACATACCGTAATGATTGACAAGCGACATTTGGTTGCATGCATCATGAGAATCCAATACCAACTCTCCGCGCACAGGGAGCGCCACCCGTTCGATATTTGAAGAGCCTTAAAACCAACAAACAAACATCCCTTCGGACAATGCGAGCTGTGCATTAGTTCAGGCAAAAACTGCGGCACCCCTTCCAATTCCCCAAAGACGCGGACCGCTGCCAGCTCCTGCTCCTTTATGGAATAGGAACTTCAAGGCATTATACACGGTCTCCCTAGCTCACTAGGCAAACCTACTCTCCCATGCGTCGCACCTGTAACTTGTACTCTGCGCACGCCTTCATTATTCGCGGTGTCTCCATCGTCCTCTTTTACCCCATTCTTCTTCCCCGACCCCGACGACTCAACGGAGACTGGGGATGCGGCATTATCTGTAGTAGAGGGTCCCTCGTCCCCGGAAGAGTCACTATCCTTCTCGAATTCCTCCGCCGCGCGCCAGGCCAACGCGCAGAATGACAGGTCAAAGACGTACTCAAATCTGCAGATACGAAAACGTCAAATTATGCGGCTGTGCCGACAATAGCCCCTCATGGTACCATTTACAACTCAAAACACGCACAAGTCGGGGCAGACAATCGGTGAAGTACCTTTGTTTGTTTGTGCTTCCGGCGCGGACATGCCCCGTGTATTCCCCAAGTATTCTTCTCTCCTTTGAGGCCCTTATCGGCTCCTTCCCAGCGTACACGACGGTGTAGCAGCTCTCGCCTGGAGGAGTTGCGAAGCGCACGGGATGAGTGGGGTCGGTGACCCTGCATACCACGAGGTCTGGGTCTACGAACCCATGCACCACCGACATGATACTATTCCACATATCCCGCATGGAAGACCGAGATACCTGAAGCAGAAACCCAGCATTACAGGAAACACAACGCAAGTCAACGCAACCTGCACTACCAAGACTAATCCATGCACGAATAGGAACAAATGAGCACGCGATACACAGACACTGGAATGCTCATCAAAATTGGTGTGGCTTCCGAATGTAGGATTGAAGAACACAGGTTATTCAACAATACAAAATATACACAACTGTCAAGAAGTGGAGACAAATAGGCATGCACCTGCATGCATACGTCACGGGCCCACGACTTACACATTGACCGACACCCACCTGGAGGCCACCGCGTTTGAAATCAGGGCAGACAATAACGCTGTGCCACTTGCTGTGGACCCAGCCCTCTCGGTTATTCCCCCAACCCTCACACTGTCGCTGAAAAGCTTCCAGAAGTCGCGCATGTTCCGACTCTGCCCGATCATCCCGCACCTAAGCACGCATCATGAGCAAGTCCTGGCAATTTAACAAACCGGCGAATAGCTAAGGGACGAGCCCAAATTCGATGTTCACCACTACAGCAAGGCAACCATCACCCTAGAATCCTCCGATGGAGGAGCGGATAAAAAGAGGGGGAAGTGGATATTGGGCTGCGTAGTTGTGTGGACTGCTGCGAACCTGGGTAGCTGCCCAGTCTATGCCTCTCTCCTCCAGCACCTCCTTAAGTGTACAAGGTTCTAGGCCCCTAGCCTTTAGGCTTGTAAGGAGCTCGGGAGAAAGCTGGGGGAGAGAGTCCTTCACCTGACGTGCAGCACTGAGGACGGCCTCTGGTGATACGAATTTGCTGCAGAGGGCAGCACCCGAGGCACCACTACCAACTCCTTGGGAAGGTCTGTTCTTGCTGCGACCCCTAAGGAAAGTGCCTCTGACCCCGCCTCCCCCTCCTCTGCGCCGGCCACCGCAGCCTGCTGCATATTGTCGTGCATGCATGCCATTCTGGGGCTTCGTGGAAATGAACCCGCTAGGATCAACCGCCGAGTTTGCCTGAGCCTGGTCATTCTCTTGACTCGCACTTGGGCTGCTAGAGGCAGCTGCAGAGAGGGAGGCAGCTATGTGACCTCCCTCTTCTTTCATTGGAGGCAGTCGTGTAGATGGTGCAACAGAGGAATGAAATGCGCTTTAAATTCCGCGGCGCACGCAGTCCCGGCGCACCAATGGCACACAAGCCTTCAGCGAGGTATAGGGAGCCAGGCTCTAGCGGCCTGAAGGCAAGAAAAAAACCCGGAAGTCTCACCTGCAGCCAGGCGAAGAGCCGTCCGATGCAACGGGAGAGGCAAATCCACTGCCTGGGTTAAGACGAGAAAGGCTTCCACTCGTCGACGGCATAACAGCCTCTCCAAACCACACTGTCAGCTGCAGCCAGAAATGCAATAAACTAGGGAAGATGGGCTGCCCAGGGTCGGAAGGCAACAGCACAGCCGCAACTGTTTGAGCAGGGTTGGGCGCTGCTGCTGCTGCTGTTGCTGCTGTGCTGAGATGCTGGTAGACGGAAGCAAGGAGTTGCAACCTGAAGACGGCACGGCTTCAACTAGCCGCCACACGGATGCTTGTTTGTTGCAACAGAAAGACCTCCAGTGAAGCTCCACAGGGGAGGCCAACAGAGAGGAAGCCGATGAACAGCCAGGAAAAGGGAAGAGGGGCAAAGTGGGTGTGTAGTCCCGTAGGACAACGCAGCATGGGTTGCTTGCTGCGCCTATACTCAAGCAAAAAAGACGAAGAAGTCAAGGATGCAGGCGTCTATTCGGGTAAAGCGGCGTGAGTGAACGGGTCTCACTAGTACAAGGGGCTGGGGAGGACGAGGAACTGGCTACGGCAGCCCACACTCTTGTGGTTTACACTTTTATCCACTGCTCAAAATAAAAACTGTTGCTGTTTTTTTTCCATACTGCATCTATCCCGGGGTCTGTTTCACGCAACTCTCCAGGTAAAAACACAATACTTCACACTTACTGCAGGCGGTACCCCCCCACTAGCCGAGACGTGAAAACACACACCACGTGTGAACCTCGAGGGACTTAGACGCAGAAGGATCGACCAGGAAGTACCTTTTGTTTTCGAGCATAGTATTGTCTACCTTGATTCTATTCGTAGCCGGTCTTACACATCCGGTGGCTACATAGATGATCTACACACGACAAGCCCCCCCCTCCCCCCC